AATAATGCTGCTATGAACATGGTTGAACAGATGTCCTTGTTGTATGAGATAAATGCTAATTTTAATGGCGATTTTGCACTGCTTCAGATTGTATTATCAGGAAACATGGTGAGAAGCTGGAGGAAGAAATGGAGGCACACACACACAGAGTTGATTGAAGTGTGTTAAAGTGTTAGAATCATCCAAAGGAAATGGAATGAATGATAGAAACTGTCCAAATCCTTTTTAAATGGAGGGCAAGATTCTCTTCCAACACATCTATATTACAGCTTATTTTTGTCTTGCTATTGACTGACACAGCTCTCTGTCTTGAACTGTAGAATCCACTCGAGGGCTGCCGTCAGTGCAGGTCGTGGAGGTGCTTCCCCCAATACCAGAACTTGAAGTCACTTCTGCAGTGCACCAGCAAGATCAATACACACGGTGAGTGATACTCAACCTTATTGACAATTTGACTTGTGCGTTATAAACATGAATGGCTTCAGGGAACTCTGCTTGACCCTCATCAGCATTGCTATCTTGGTGGTGGACACAGAAGTAATAAACTTGAGAAGCCAGCCCACTGGAATTAGGTGACACAAGCTAAAGTGCCCATTTTCTCCAAGATTTAGGAAGGATCAGAAAACTAATCTCTCAGTCTATTAGACTAATCTCTCAGTCTGTTCAACTGTCCCTGAAATGTCAGCCCATCCCTTAGCATCACTTGTCTTGGAGTCGAGCCGTAAATAAGTCAGAGCATGAGAAAAGGGAGCATGAGATTTGTTCAGTTGAACCCATCCACCTAGTCATTGAAATATAACTTTAAATTTAGCATCTGATACTCTAGATGAATGTGCCTTAATTTAATATATTCCAATTTAAAACTGTGCTCAGAAGTGTGGTCGAGATGATTTTCATTCATTCATCAAATATGTATTAAATGGCTACAATGGCATATAGTCATGTACAGTACAGTGTGTAAAGATGGTAACAGAAAGTGTGTCTCTGGGCACCTCCCTTTGTGCTTCATTGTGACTGCCCATGTCACTAAGACTTCATAGTACTTGAGAGGTCATTGGTCCAGGCTCTATTAAGACAAGATGTGGAGAAAGAGACAACAACAACAAAACAAGCCCTGGCCTTCCTTTTCTCAGATGTGCTAATCTTCTCCATTGGCCAAGGCCAACCAGGAAGAGACAGACTAAGACAAGCCAAGGTGGCCTCTGGCAAGGCACCAAGCAGGTGGAAGGAAGTGGAGAGCAGATTTGGATAGGTAATTAAAGATCCTGCCCAAAGGGCCAATATGCAAAGTGGCAAAGTGGAAACCTAGTGATATAGATCCGTTTGTGTTCAAGAAGAAATTCTGGCAGAACTTAGTGTGGTCAGGGTCTGCTGTTGGCTAGAAATTCCTAGGTCTGATTAATGAGTGTGCCAAGAAAAATCTTCCTGAGCCCTATGTCTGATTCAAGCTCACAGTTAAACATGCTCCACTTTGGTTATTTGCGTCAAATATGAACTTTGTGTCAAGAACTCTACTCCTTGGCAATTAGTGGGGGAAATCAGAGTAGAGAAACTGCAATCCCAGTGACAAGTGTAAAGTAACATGGGGTCTAGAAGAGCTGATCGTAGAGCTGACAGAGGACAAGATGCCTAACTTTTGCTAGATCCTAAATAAAGATATGGAGTGGAAGAATCATTCCACTGCTGTCCTACCATTGCCATGTATTGTCTTAACAGAGAGAGATCTGCAGCAACTTTTGTTTCCATTGAGATGTCAAAAGTCCTGTGGTGGCAGAGGCAAGAGGAATGCCTAGGTTTCCTCTGTCCTGTGCTTGCAAGTTTCTCATCACTCTGATGCTCTCTTTGCAGGGATGCACTACTAGGAGCATCATTGTATAACACAGTAGTGGATAGAGCCCCTAGTTAGTGACAGAAGAAAGGTATTTTGTTATATAGGATATAGTGTTTGAAATGAATGACTTAAAATTGCTTTCTACCAATCCTAATTTTAGACAATACTTAAGAAACTATTTAGGTGAATAATATTTGTTATGCATTTGAAAAAAATAAAAACCTCCTTTCAGGCTATCCTTGGACAATCTGGACCAAAGACTTTGAAGAGTTTGGGCCCAGTTGAGGAAGTACTGATAGGTGAATGGCAGTGATGAGACCCTGGCTGATGGGAGTCAACTGGAGAGTGTATATCTGACCCACGAGATCAAGGGGACAAGAGTGTGTCAAGAGCTGTTGTGAGTCAAGGAAGACAAGCTGATGGAGTCCATGGGAGAATAAGAGAGTGGGTACCTCTTCCACCCATCAATATCCTGCTCAGCATGGACGTGGGCTTCATCTTGAGGAACCAAGAGTGACCAAGGATGAAAATCCACATACTGGGTCATGTTGCAGGTGCAGGATGGTTTTTCCTACACAGATGAACAGTTTCTAGTTGGCAAATTGTTTAAAAGGGCCTGTGTATTTGTTCAACATTTATTTGCATTTATAAATCTTGTCTCCTTTTAGCATAAGACTTTTTAAAAAAATCAAGGATACTGTAATAAAAAGGACTCAAATGAAATGCCTTGAGTATTTAAATTTGATAGCAAATGTTTCCTCTGTTTATTTTGGCTCATATTTGTTATAGCCACCATGGATATCATGAATAAGCATAGGTATCAGTTTCAATAAGAAGTATGCATAGACAAGAATTCAGTTCTTCATATTGAAAAATAAACCAGTATCTCCCAGAGTTAAGAGGGAATGTGTTCTTCCGATATGATTGTGTGACTAAAGTTGTGTATCTAACCAGCAGAAGCCACCCTGAGCTCCCTTGACCCATCTCCTACAAGGCAGGTCAAACAAATCCCTTCCTGACTGTCCTCAGAAACAGAGTCTAAGACCCCATGGGAGAGGTGGTTCTCTCATTCCCAAGCATAAACAAGCAGCATCCTTATCCACATAGATTCAGGATAGTTGAAGAAATGGAGCAAACAGACCTTGCTAAGTTCCATCTCCATTAATCATCATTATAGCACAAAATTTTTGCCCTACCATGTTCTCTATCACTCTCTTTTCTTCACCAAACACACTTTAAAAGACACTCATGTCTTGGGCTGGGGAGAAGGCTCAGTGGGCAAAGTGTTTGCTGTGTAAACACTTTCTGATCCTCAGCGCTCACAAAAAAGATGCTTACAGATCTGTAACCCCAACACTGGGTGGTGGAGACAAATGGATCCTGGGGAGGTTGTTGTCTAACCAAAATGCCCAGCTCCAGACTCAGTGAGAGACACTGTCTCATAAAATGTGGTGGAGGGCTGGTGCGATGGCTCAGCAGGCAGGTTGCTTTCTTTCAAGCCTGAAGCCCTGAGTTTGATTCCTGGGACCCACAAAGTGGCAGGAGAAAACCTACTTCCTCAAGTTGCCCTCTGACCTCCAAATGTGCAAAGTGTACACAGATACATATACAAAATAAATATTATTAGTGATGATGATGACAAGGTGAATATAACAAAGGACAACACCTGCAGTTGACCTCTGATCTCTGTGTGTACATGCATGAGCTTGTGTTCCTACACACATGTGAGATCTAAGCCACCACACACACACACACACACACACACACACACACACACACACACACTCATTCTTTGGGTTGTCATTTTCATATAAAGACTGTTGGGCCAGCTAAGATTTATTTAAATAAGTTAGTATATTTTTCTTGTTAATTTTTGTTGGATAGATCTCAGACATGGACTTAGCATGGTAGAAAGGAGAGGGAGGGATGGAGGGGAAAGAGAGAGAGAGAGAGAGAGAGAGAGAGAGAGAGAGAGAGAGAGAACAGCTCTGGTCATTAGGCTTGGTTGGTAGCAGTAGGAACTGTCTCATTGGCACCCCCCCCACACAACTAAGAGGAAAGTTTGTATAAGAATGTGTTATTCTTCATTTCTAGGTCACAAACTAAAATGTTAATTTTAAAATTTAAGGGCTGGAGATTTGGCAAATGGAACTCAGCCCATTTTACTCTGTCTTACTCTGTTTGGGTATCCTTAATTAATAGATGAGTCAGCTTGGGTGTCAGATTTTTCTGCAGGGGTTTAGGCTTCCCACATGATGAAGTATGGATATTCTACAATTTCCGAAGAGTCAAATTACTGTTTCTCTTCACATTCCCTATTATACTCTGACAAACAACATGGGAATCGACGGGAGCTTGGCTTACAACAGGCATACATTAAGTTTCTGGTTCTGTTGGACTGTGGCAGCTTTCAGAGAACTATTTCACTAACTTCAATTCACTATTACTCTAATAAATA